AGACTGGCACAGACCTAATTTAATTCCCCAGTTAGGCCTGAAACAATTAATTGGATTAATCGTGATAGATAGATTATTGAAATAATCGTCAACTAATTTGTTAATCAATTAATCGTTAAATGGAGCATAGAGACTCTAAAACATGTCTTGAGCTGACAGAGCAACCCAATCAGTGCAGTAATTCTACCAAAATAGTAAAAAAAAATTTTTATAAATAAATACATAGAAATTTTGCATTGAAGATGAAAAAAAAAACCATTTTGTTCTTTCAATCTAATCTATCCAGAACTCCTCAAGTAAAGAAGTTTTAGTTTCACCTGGTTTAATTTTGTAAAAAAAAAAAAAAAAAATCTTTAAGGAACATTTGGTTATCCAATTATTAATCAAAAATTAATCAACAGATTAATCGATTTGGAAAATAATCATTAGTTGCACTAGTCCCAGTATCACAAGCAAGGAAACAGTCCCATAGAGTGATGCTTTAGTGTTCTGACAAAACCCCGACTCCTCAGAATAACCATAGAACTCAAGAACTGCTATTCCTGGCCCATTTCACCTTAAACATGCTTAGAGTTGGTGCTTGTAAATAAAATCTCTGTAATGTGTTTCTAAAGGTCACCCCCGGGTTGCTACAGACACCATGGTCCGTAGCATTTTTTTTATAGAGTTTGGAGGCTCAAAATTCTCAGCCTCGATCCTCCAAAGAGTCTTTTTGCCATTTTGACAAATAGCCTAAAGGTATAGTGGACGATGTTCTGTTTCCGGGTGGATAATTTAAATATGTGGTCCTTCTAATTATCAATCAATCTGGGGATATGTTTAAGTTAAGCCATCCTACGTGCTCGTCCCCATTTTCACTTAGCGGTGGTGAGTCTGACATAGTGGAAAAATAGCAAATCTTCCTTTGGAAAGTAAGCTTGTATGAGCGATGCAAACAGCAAATTTTAAACAGAGCGTGCACGAGGAGAAATGTACAGTAGAGGATTAGAGCCACTGGAAGAAAAAAAAAGAAGAAGAAAATTTACTGATTTTTAAATATTATTTAAATATAAGAAAAAAGTCAAAATTGTGACCTTTATCTCAGAATTCTGACTTTTTTCTTCCAATATTTACTTTAATCACAGAATTCTGACTGAATTCTGATAGCTAACAAACATGTTAGCATCAAGCTGTAGCCATGTCTGTTTTAGAGACTATCTTTCTTGTTCTAATCACCTTCTGCTCTTCCATTAATGAGATAGCATTACTGGGACCCCTTGGGCACGTAAAAAGCAGTGGCGGCTGGTGAAAAATATTTTTGGTGGGGCTGATATAGCCTAGTGTATGTCTCCAACTAATCCGGAATAAGAATTCAAATAAACAATTGGACAATACATACAATTTAACAGTAATGATTTAATTTACTATATAATAACAGTAACAGTGATGATTTGGGTCACTGTGACGGGGTTCTTTGGCCTCCAAGAATCCAGTCTCAGTCGGGTTACCGGTGTTGGTGATTTATTGAGCTCAAAAACTCAAAACAGGGTGCAAAAGAAACTACACATACAAGATACTCTGGGCCTCAGCCTCCCTCCAGTTACCAGCAGTGTAACAAAGAAACAGAAAACAAAAATTGCCGCTTTTCTTCCCACAGCCCTCATTAAATAGTTTAAGCCCCTACCCTCAGGCTCTCTTATTTCTGATTTCTTCTCATTAATCAGTTTTGTCCATATATTACCTCCACAAACAATTGATGTACAAAAACAAATAATTTTTACAACTTAATTCTTTTACACAGATTCATTGACTTATTCAATTACACCAAACTGGGTTTGAACCCAGCAAAGACGCAGCCAGACTGAAGATTGAAGATGACAAGTCCCCGTAGCATAAACACGTACACCCCCCCCCCCCCCCCCCCCCCCCCCCACACACACACACACACGGCTAACCCCACTGAAATATTAAGTGTGCACCCTCAATATGCCAGCAGGTAACCAGGAACAGCTTGTGTGTTTTAAGTTCATGGAGCTACTGGTCTCAGCGCGAGTTTATTGGTCCTCACAAACACAGTATACCAGGAATGTGTGTGTGGCGCGCAAAGTTAGAGAGGTTGTTTTAAGCGACGAGGTGAATTCGTCACAGTCACAATAACCATGACAGGAAATGTTCATATCCTACAACAGGGATGTTCTTCTGGCAAACGGGTAGATAAATAAGGATCTCACCGAATTTGGTGGAAGCTGCATCTCGGTCGTTACATTCGCCATCTTCCCTCTAATTGTCTGCACCTGCGCTTGGGTGCAGAAGCCTGTTAAAGCGCAGTATTTTCAGCGCCCCAAGACCATAAAGTTCCGAGACGCTGATTGGCCATTAAATTCACCTAGCAATAGTACATGATTGACAGATTCTCTGCAAATGTGGGGCTGTCTGATCAGCGCCCCCAGAACAGAGACGGTAGGAGTCTGTCTGTAGAAATCCACAAATTAATGACAGTAGATAGGGAAATGTAGTTTATATAATTTGTTTTGCTTATAGGTACACAGTCTAGAGAGTAAAACTGACATTTATGAGTTAATTTCTAAAAATATATTTTACGTTTCTCTCTTCTTATCAGGGAGGGCGGTGCCCCAGCGCCCCCTATGGGCCGGCCGCCACTGGTAAAAAGTCACCTAATTCCATCATTTTCCAGCAGTGTTACTGGCCCTCCCAAACAACTCACATCTTTGTTAGTGAAGGTGGGTGCTCCCACAGCTCTTCCTTCATGGTGCCCATCTACATTAAGATCCACAATTCTGAGATTAAAGTCAGAATTCTGACTTTTTTCCCCATATTAAACTAAAATAATATTTTAAAATCAGTTAACTTTTTTTTTATTTCTTCAGTGGCCCTAATCCTCTTCCGTAGAAATGGGAATGCTCTTCTCCCTCTCAGAGGTGGGCACAGGGTTGTGCATGTGCATTTTTTATTTTTATTTTTTTTGAAGTAGAGAAGATGGGTCTTTTCAAAAAGTTCGCGAAAATCGTTGACTATCTTTAACTTTTGACTCGTCTTGTTCTGGAACTTTTCTCCAGAGGGCTATTTTATTTTCGAGCCTTCTTTTCGAACCTTCTTTCTCAACGATCACCTTGTCGGTACGTCATGTTGACATTGGTCAAATACAAGCTAAAGCTTCACACTAAACATCTAGAATGACTCCAGACCTCAGTAGACTTTGCTTATGCCTGAATGGGATCAGTAGCAGGAATCCAGCCAAACAGTAGGGGGAAATATACGGCAAGAATTATGGAAGAAGCTAAGGGAAATATATAATCAGAGGTTAGTGGGTGTGTATGTATACATTTGAGCCTGCTAGTATCACTTCAATAGTGCATCTGATTTCTTTAGTTGAAATTGTAATTTAAATTATAACCGTAATCCACTCTTTAAAAAATAGAAAAATGAATAATTTAGAGCCTAAAATGAAGGAAAATCAGGATGAATGTATATAAACTCCTGTCAGAGCTGCTTTTTAATGAAGGGAAAATGACAAAAAGTGTAACAATAGTGTTTTTTTCTTCCTTAAATCACGACACAGGGATAAAAAATACATCTGCTGTCAGGTTTAATCAAGGGATCTGTCGTTCACGCACACTTTGTTTTGAAGTTTAAACGTTCTGAAGGTTTTACCAAAGCTTGCAACAAGAAGAAGAGGAAAAAAACTGGACAAAAAGAATGAATCTTTAAACACAAAAAGAAACTGAGCAGTATTAACAATTAACTCCAGATCTGCTGCGTTTTGTCCGTTTCTACGTTTTTGTTAAACATGCAAAAAAATAAAATAAAAAGGAATAATGAAGTTTTTTTTTTTTAGAGATGTGAATGTAAATATGTTTTTTGTGTCCCCGCAGAGGGCCGGCTGTAGAGTCCACATTTATGTTTGGTTTTTGTGTTAAATGATGCAGTAAAAGGAGCACCATCGGTTTTCAATAACCAGGCAGAAATGTTAGCGTCTCTCTGTGTGCTATGTCCACTTTAAGGGTGGTTTATTTTAGGTCCATCCTGTGTCTTATCTTGGGAGCCGCGACCGTTTCAGTCTCAGTAGCTGTAACAGATTATAATCTGCACCAGTTTCATTTTAAACATTTTTAATGACTTTTATGTATATGTTGTACTGTTGATTAGATTACTTTTTTTGACTGAAAGCCCTTTATGGGGTGGATTGGGGGGCTTACTTTGCACTGTGCTGTAAACTCTTTGTCGGGACTCTCTTTCTTGTGGGTGAGACCCTCTTTGTTGTCCCAGCGTACACAAAAACCGATCTCAGAGACACCTATGCATGCTCCATGAACATGGATCAATACATCCCATGAAGCAGTCTGTGTAAATATTAAAAAGTCTGCTTAGATGTGTAAGTAGCAGAGGCAGGACTGGGCATGTTTGCCCAGATGCCTTCTGAAAACATTGATTTTTTTTTTTTTTGCCAAAAGATAACTTGCCCTACCAGCAACTAACAGTAGGTGTGACTTTATTGAGCTGTGTGTTTTCATTACTGGGACTAAGTTATATTCACTGCACTCAGTAGGTAGCTGTAGGTAGTAAATCAGTCCTGTCTCTTACCTGGAGTGTTTTTTTTCTTTGTTTTGTTTTTTCTTAGCATGTCCAGGACATTTATAATGTTGTCACTGATTCACTAACCCCCTCTTGTGGAGGACATCTAGAAGTGCAACTCCTCTACATCAGAATCACTACTGTATTAGTCTGTCACTAAACTCTTCCATACTGTTGCATGTGGGTCTGAGGAGTGGGAGCTACTCTCTCTCTTTGTTTACACTGAGGGTCACCGACTGGAGGAGTATAATAATAATAATAAATAATAATGCTGTATATCTCTAAAGGGTTTCACCATCATGTTCTGCAAAGACAAAAAAAGGGGAATACAGCTGTGACATTGTGAGACAGCCTGGATGTAAATAAAGAAGCGCTTGCCAAAGTTTGTAAATGCCATCAGATGTGTCGTCTCTCTTTTTTATGTTTTT